TGCTCAGAAAGCATCGAGGTGACTCCGCACTCGTTCCCGAAAGCTGATTTGGGGGCCTGAGATTCCCTCCCTGGAGGAAGTTCCTGAGAACCTGTGGTGGCTAAGCCACTTGCTCTTGCCTTGGCCCCACAGGGACCCGCACCAGCCTGCCTACCTCCCGAGGGTGCTATCATTGCCCCAGCTCCCGGGGCCAATCGATGCTTCCCATCCCGGGTTCTGAGCTGGTGCACTCACTGCAGTGGCATATCCTCTGTTTTCATGAGTGGAGAGAAGGTGGCCAATCCAGGGGACTCCAGAGAACATGACATCTGGATGTTCCGTAGCCATTGTCCCCAGCGACTGGCCGATCAAATCAGCAGTGACTTACAAATACCAGGAGGTCCCCTTTTTCTTCCTCCTCACCCCTCCTGCCTTTTCAACTCCTCTCGGCAAAGCTTCCAAGAGCACAGGCCGGGGCCTGGGAATGGTCCTGTTCTTTGTCTGCCATGGGTCATTCGTGGAAAGCGGCTCAGGGCACAGGAGGAGGAAGGGAGAGGCTCCGAGGTCAGAACCCAGCACAGCTCCTCCCACTGCCAAGAGTAGGAAAGCTGGCCAGCCAAGCAGGTACTGAGAACCCATGAAGGCCCGGGCCAGCATGCCCGGGGGTGAAGGGAAGAGCATGGCATACTGGATACGTGGGGTACCCGTTTAACTTCAGCAGTGTTTGTATGAGGCAGGGACTGCCATCCTCATTTACAGATGAGAAAACCAAAGCCCAGATTGGATGTGGCCACCCAGTTGGTCAATGAAAGATTTGGGATTCAAACCCAGATTGGCCTCACCCCCAAATGCATCGTCTTTCCTCATCGCCACAGTGCCCCCAAGGCAAGAGCAATCCAGTCCCATGCGCAGGTTCTCGGCCAGCCAGCCTCCTCCCAGAGAGGCTGCCTGCCAGTCAAAGCTGTTTTCTAACATGGGAATGATCTTTCCCAGGAAAATCAGGATGGCAAACACCAAGGTGGGGTGCTCGCCCCTACCCGCTACTGTCCCACCAGAAAGGCCTGGGGTGGGGCCCTGTCTGGGGCAGCATCTTCCTCACATTCTCTCCCTTCTGAGTCTACACCACACTTGATTCAATGAACTAGTTTACAGAATGCCCCCACGTTTGCCCTGTAGGCCGGGGAGGGAGAGGCAAGCGAAGCACTGGAGCCCCCCAGGTGGCAGCCACCGGCCAGTGCGAGGCAGGGCATATCGTGGCAGCTTAGTGAGGGTTGGCAGCCTGGCACGGTGAGTAAAGCACAGACCTGCAAGCCAGCCTGCCTGGGTTTGCGTCTGAGTGCTGCACCCTCCCCCATGTACCATCTTGGGCAAGATGGTAAGTTCTCTGAGCCTCAGTCTGCTCTTCTGTAGAATGGGGATACAGAGCCAAACTGGCTGCACCCAAGTAGGGGGAAAGGAGTTAATATTCATGCAACTCGGAACAGTGCCTGATACAGGGTGCGGGCTATGGAGGCATTAGTTAAGTCTTAAATACACGTAGTTTAAAACAGCTACATTCGGTTTGGGTTTTCAGTAATGCTATGGAAACCCTTATAAAATGTTTACTCCCTTATTCTGCTCTGAAAAGTACAGCACAAAAAATATAGAAATAACTCACTCTGGAAGTGGAATGCGGCAAGTAATGTTCTGGTTAATTGACAGTCGGCACAGCCCTGATTTTGTAAAGAGCATCTTTGTGATGATTCTAATGCCCCCGTTTTAAGGTAGGAGGTGTACAATGGAGTGATGTGGTTGGGATTTTAGGAAACACATCAGAACCTAGAAATTCCAAGTAGCCACTTGGGTGGGCCGGGGTCCCATTACTCAGACAGAGGGTGCTGGGCAGGAAACCATCTCAGCATCGTCTGTCCATCTGTCTCTCTTCTCTCCCCTCTGAAGCTTGTTTGGAGCTTAGAAGGATCTTAATTATCATCTAATAAAACTTTGTAGCCCTAGCCAGTTTGGCTCAGTGGATAGAGTATCGACCTTCGGACTGAAGGGTCCCAGGTTCAATTCTGGTCAAGGGCATGTACCTTGATTGCAGGCTCCTCCCTGCCCCCTGCCCAGGTCCTGATCAGGGTTTGTGCAGGAGGCAACCAATCGATGTGTTTCTCTCACATCAATGTTTCTCTCTGTCTTTACCTCTCTCTTCCACTCTCTCTAAAATCAATGGGAAAATATCTTTAGGTGAGGATTAGGAAAAAAAAGAACTTTGTAGGTGAGCTAACCAAGGTTGAACAGGTGACTAAAAACCAGTCTCTCCACCACTTAAACCAACCACTAAGAATGTTACCAAACTTATTTACCATTTTTGGCTCCAAATGACTGGTTTACCCTAAGAAAAATTTAGTCCGTTTGTTAAAGACAAATATCTACCCCCACCGACACCGAAGAATGGGCAACAGGCTATGAACACATTTACTTGGACTGTCACAGAGTCATCCCCTTGGCATTCTGGCCCACTTGGAGGGAAGATCGAGTTCAAATTCACATCAGAGATTAGGAGAGGCTGGCAAAGAATTTCTCTAGCGTGCTTAGCCCTTATATGAGTAAAGTCAGTCTTATGCAGGCACCTGATGGTCAGTGGGACAGGGCTGGGAATTAGGGACTGGCAGGCGCACGTGCACACACGCGCACATGTGCACATACTCATGGCCCGTTAGCATGAAGTTAAGCCATTGCAAGTGGACCAGCAGACCCTGGGAGTTAATCAGCACTGGTCTCCGGGGTGGGCATCTCAGTGAGCAGATGAGCCCTGAGCAGGAGCCAGGTAGCAGGCCAGAGGCAGCCATCCCGGCAGGCCTGGAGCTGCCTGATATCACCACAGCCTGGAGGAGACAGCAGGGTCCAGCTATAGGGCCTGAGGATCAAGTCAGGGCTTATGTCTTAGAAGGACTCCCAAGAGAAGCGTTGGGCTGTCTTGGGAAACCCATGTTGCCAAGGTTACAAAGGCAAGGGGGGGGCGATACAAGAAACTGAGAAAATTTGGAACGAGGCCAGCTGTGCAGCCCACCCCAGGGCAGCAAGGACCCGGGCATGGCTGGCTTGATGCCGAGTCCCCTGAGCTCCTGATCTGCCTCCTTGGCTCCCCAGCCACGGCTGGTGGGTGTGGGTGGGGGCTCAGCTGGGCGCTCAGACAGGTCCAAGTGGGGCCTAGCTGCATTGAAAGGAGGGCAGCAGGGGCAGGGGCCAGGTGGGAAGCTGATGTTTTGGTTGAGCAAAATCATCCCAGGCTGGAAGCCTTCCAGCGAGGGGATTAGCATCGCTATGTCCCAACCTGCCAAGGTACTAGAGCCTGGAAAACATAGGGAAGATCGCACAGCCTTGCAGACAATGTGTGCCCCAGATCAGGAGTCCCCAGGGGGCTGGAGGCAAAGCAAGTTCATTTCATAGACTTTGCTGACTCTGGGGTAAAGGCTCGGCTGGCCTACACTGCATGTGGTGACTCTCCCAGAACTCCAAAACAGTCTCAGATCTATCTCTATAGCCCCGACCAATCTCCTGATTTCTTTCCTGTTCCTCTCCCCTTATCTCCCCCAAGCCCAAGCTCCATGTCTGGGCTCACTAGTAAGCTAATTAACATTAAATAGTAACATTTTATTCTTCCCAGTTTTATTAACACATTTTGAGAGGATCACAGAGAACAGAAGTCATCTCAACCAAAGGAATGAATATTTAATGGTAAAAGTTTAGCTACGCGGTGCCTGGGAGACGTTTTAAGGCAGAGGAAAGCTGCCCAGAATCCACTCCTCCCTTCATCATGGCACCTCCACTTCTTCTTGGGAAACTTCCTCTTCCCCATCATGCAATCCAAGGGCTTATTTCCCATGAGGGATGCCAGACGTGACGTATCCTTGCACCCAAGAATGGCAGGACGTAGGTACACGGTCCCAGTGCACACAGCTGGATGGCGGTTGGTGGTCCTTCATCACGGAGGAGGCAGCGTGCTGACCCTATGATCTTGCCATCCAGCCCTACAGATGTTCTTTGGCGACTGTCCTAGGAACACTGATGCTGTGAGCCATTCCCCCCACCAAGCCTTGAAGTCAACCAGACTTTGCTGTTTGCAAACACATGGATCCCAAGTGGCCCCACAGAGTCAGGCCAGTGATGATGGGGAAGAGGGCTCCTCAGCGACCCTCCATGCAGGGGCTGAGACGCTGTACATCACAGTGACCACCACCGTGGACGTGGAGCATGAGTGGCCAGAAACAAGAGCCACTTGCAGGGCCCTGGATTGGGAGAATGGAAAACAGCAGCCCATCTCCCAAAGGTGACAGGATGGGATGGTGTGCACCCCTGAAGGCCATGCCGACAGCGGGAACATCCCTCACTGGCAACCTTGCCTCCTCTCTCCTGTCATGTGCACTGGCACACACATGTGAGCACCTGCAAGCCCACACACGCATGTACACACTCAGCTAGCAGGCATCCTTCTGGTCTCTCCGGGAGAACATGGCAGGCTCATGTCTGGTGGAGGCTGGGTGGTAAGTAGAGAAAACAAGGAGCAGGGCTGAGCCACAGCGTCTTCCTTCCCTGGTGGGACCCAAGAAGCCAGGTCCCTGCCTCACAATCACACACCTTAAGTAAACCAGGAGTCCCAGCGGGCAGACGAGCAGGGCCAACTACAGGGTCGCCCAGGCAGCCTTCAAACAAAAACATACCCTAAGTGTGACAAGTTGTCCCCTCACCTCCATCCTCATGGCCACTCCTTCCCTTCCAGGTTGGGACCAGCCGCCGAAGGGCGCTGGCACTCATTGGGAAGGGGAGGTGGGACAGACAGGTGAGTGGCCAGACAGACTCAGCACAGTGGGACCCCAGACCCACCAAGTATACAAGCATCTCCTAACGGAGCTTCGTCACCCACACCGAGCACACGTGACAGATGGCCCCACCCAGGAGCCCCAGGTAAGCAGCCAAGGTGCGGCTGGGCCAGGAACTAAGCAGGGAGAAGGCACACGGGAGTGAGGCAGAAACCAAGCTGCTTCCGAGGACATTTATTGGAGCCTGGCCAGCGTGAATGCGATCAGGAGCCCCTCCCACGGCCCGGCGGCCCGACGGGCCGGGACACGGGGAGGCCACCTCCTCCGATCCCTTTATAGACAATGTTATAAAAAAAATAAACTTTACAATAATACATTTCGCTCATCTGTTGGGGTATTATTTCAATAGTTTTGTTTCTTAAAAAAAAGGAGAAAGGGGAGACCACACGATATATGTATATGGATGTGTATATACATATATGTTGAGAAGGGCAACATGTTGTGTACATACAGTTGGCGTATGTCTCAGAAATGAGGAAAGATAAGGTGGAAGTGGGGAGAGAGCTGCAGAGACCAGAGCGTGGGGTGGTGGACGTCCACTGTGGTCTTCGCTGCCCCTCTCAGCAGCCCCCTCTCCAAAGAGAGCCACCGAAGAATCATTTCTTTTTTATTTCAAAATTCCTGCCACCAAGAGGAAGCAGCAGCCCCGAGCTGCGGCCAAGTGTTGCTCCCTCCTCCTGAGGAGGTGTCCCAGGTGGGCTGAGCCCCCAAGGCCCTGGAGCTGCCCAGCCCGTGCCACAGTGGGGGACCTCCGTGCACACCCCTCCACAAGCCAGAAGCAGACCTGCCCAGCCCAGAGGGAGGGCAAAATAAACTCCACTCTCAAAGCACGTGGAGGTGCGACTGGTGCCCAGTTGGACCCAGGGGCCAGCCCCACTGCTCTGCCACCTGACGCCCCTTGCCAGCCCCAGCAAGTCCCCAGAGTGGGCAACTTGAGAAGAGCAGCAGCCACTGTCCTGCCTCAGACCACACCAGGCACGGCCACAGTCCCGTAGCCACAGGGGTCTCGTCAGGGTCCAGAGAGGAAAACACCAGGAGAAGGTGTGGGGCATGTCTAGACCCTCGCGCCCTCCTTGGCCCTGGGGTGCCCTTGCCAGGGGCCCCCCAGGAGGCTCTCAGGCTGCCCGCCTACTGTCTGTTTGGCTTAGAAAAACTTCTCCAGAGAAGAAACCTGGGAACAGACAGGTTCAGAGACAAGGTGAGGGAAATTTTTTGCAAGGTGTGTGTGTGTGTGTGTGTGTGTGTGTGTGTGTGTGTCCATTCAGCAGGCGGGTGCTCTCGTCCACGTAGCTTTCGGAAACCTCCAGATGCCATGCCCAGAGCCTACAAGGCCAGCTTCAACATCAGGAAGGAGACAGCGGTCAAGGCGGCCGACGGGCTGGCTCGGCAGGGGCCTGAGTTGGGTCTGATCACCTTGTTACTCCCTGGAATGATGTTGGTGGTGAGCTGAGGCCACGGCAGAAAGGGACAGAGCAAAGAGAACAGGAAAGACAAACAAACGAAGGAGTCAGCAGGGCTGGGAGCAGGCAAAGAAAAGGACTGACTCCCCATGCCGCTGCCTTCCCACCCATCCAGGGGGCTCCCCTTTGCCCACCCTCTTGGAGGCAGAGCCAGGCTTCCGGGGAGCTGGGCTGAGCCCCCAGCTGGGGAAGGCAGTGCCATGGTGCCCAGGACAGCCTGGCTGACACTGCCCGGGGAGGAAGAAGGCCTGACGCAGGCCAGGGAGAAGGGGCGAGATAATGATCTCAAGGGGAAGGGGCTCCCGGGTCCCCAGGACCTTCTTGAGGAGAGGAGAGAGCTGCTCTGTTCCTCCTATTCCTAAATGTGGCCGATTCCTCCCCTCCATAGAGCACCCCCTGCATATCTCTGACTGCGCTCTCCTCCTGCTGTGGAAGCTTACGTGGCCTCTTCTCGGGTAAGTTATAGACAGACTATCATACAGTCAGATACCACCATGCACCGGGGCTCCTGTGAGGAAGGGGCTGTGTCCTCTCTGTCTCAAGTTCACAGAACCAGCACGCGCAGGTGCTCTGCACACCTGCCTTAAAGAGTCAGGAAGGCTTGGCAGGGCCCTGCTCAGAGCAGGCAGTGTCTCTCCCAAGACAGCCAAGTCTGTGTGCCCAGCAGGCCCAGGAGGGCCAGGAGCTCAGCTGGCCCAGCCCGCAACAGGATCCGAGGGCCCTGAGTCTGAGGCTCACCTGGAAACAGCCTCCCGTGACCAGGCCCCTGCACCACCGCACTCTGCCCCACTCACCTCTGTGAAACACGTGCTCAGCTCTTTGGAGCTATTGGCCTTCAGCCCCTGCTCCTGTGTGTGTGCCCAGCAGGCCCAGGAGGGCCAGGAGCTCAGCTGGCCCAGCCCGCAACAGGATCCGAGGGCCCTGAGTCTGAGGCTCACCTGGAAACAGCCTCCCGTGACCAGGCCCCTGCACCACCGCACTCTGCCCCACTCACCTCTGTGAAACACGTGCTCAGCTCTTTGGAGCTATTGGCCTTCAGCCCCTGCTCCTGTGGGAGAGAAGGCACCAGTGAGGACGGCTCACCACAGCTGAGCTTGTCCTGTTACTCGGATGAGGCCCACCTTCCGGGCCCTGCCATCTGCTGTGGGCGTCATGAAGCACAGGGCACAGGGAAAGCTCTGGCTCCATCCCACACAGCACAAGACCCTGCCCCTTTCCGACATCTCAGCGACTAGGTCCCGGCTCCTGTCGGCTCCTGAAGAGAGAGTTCTAACTCCGCTCTCCAATGTCCAGCATAACAGAGTCAGAAGCCACTCACAGGTCTCTCCACCACACTCAGCTCCTCACGACAGGCAGGGACCACGCCCTCCTCCCCTCACATTGCACAGTGTCTGGCCTATGACAGCAGCTCAGTAAATGTCTCACCAGGTGCATGAATGGACAGATGAGTGAACGCACGCATGCCACTGAGCAGAATCGGCATCTGAGAGTCAGGTCATTGAAGACCATGAGTCCTCATTTGGGTTCAGGGGAAAGAGACTGTGATTGATTAGTTATGTCTGCCCTGGTGCATGTTAGGAGGACATCAGGCACCAGTGCCAAGGGTTAACCTTTCCACCTAAACCGATGTATGGCCCCTGGGAGCTCCGTGGTCAAGGTGAGGAATGGAAAGAAAGCTGGCTTGGTGATGGTTCCGGGTTCTGTGCCCCCCGCATGACCGCCTGGATGCAGGACCAGAGGGTGTGCTGACGAACAGTCCCCTATTATCATCATCATAACAGTGACCCCGGGAACCAGCTGGCAGATATGGTGTTTCCATCCTGACTTCAAATGGCTTGGTTCTCAAGGCACCTGTGGGGACTCTCTGGCCACTAGAAGCAACTGGGAAGCCCAAGAAATTATGCCTAAATCACTGCTCTTGGCCAGAAGTATCAAAATCCCTTGGACATCACAGGCAATCTACCACCCAGGGCATCTGGTCAGCTAAACAAAGCCCAGCTACCACACAGAGGTCCGGCCAAGAGCAGAGTCACTGCCAATGGTGGGGATGTGACCAGGGTGGTGATGAGTGCAGTGGGCGGGAAACCAGACCCAGGAGGATCCTGCTCAGGACCACAGCACCAGTGACCCAGGTGCCCAGATCCAGCCCAGCCAAGCCACCAACCTGCATCCCTGGGAAAGGGCGAGGGCTCTGGGGCCCTTCTGCCCCAAGGACTGGATTCTACTGCCTGGACCCAGCGCAGCTCCGGCCAGGGCTGTGGGAGGCCACTGCCAGGGTGGCCCGCATGCCCCACCTCAGAGACCGCTGCCACCACTGCCTCCTGTCTGACTGCTCAACCTTCACCTTCACTTGGCCGCTTCCCTGAGCAACTCCGAGCCCCTGCTAGTTCCCCCCGTGGCATCCTGGGGCCTGCTGGGCTCTGTGCCACCCGGCCCAGCACTGTGCCTCCCGCATCCTCTCCTGCCCTCACTGTCCAGGTGTGGCAGGTCTGCTCCCTCCGTGGGCCCTCACCACAGGGCTCACTACACACAGAGCCTGTGTGGGCAAACGGCCAGGTCAAAGTCCTCACCCCCAGCTCAACCCACAGCTCAGTTCTGTTCGATATACTGGAGTTGTGCACAAAGTTGTTTTTAAAATAGTAGACTGCTTAAAAATAAGTAAGGCCTGAGAAAATAACTCAATTCAATGACCTCTAGCCTGGCCATATAACTTTATCTGATGAGATGCCCGCTCTCAGGGAGCTCAGGGTCCTCGACACTGCTGGCCCTAAAGGCTGCACCCAAGGGAGCCCCAGAGAAGTTCCCAGGAGACAGGATCGGGGCCCAGCGACTGAGGAGATAAAGCCTGATGTGGGCACCATGGAGTCACCCAGGGTAGGCACCATGTAACCACCTGGAGTGGGTACTGCAGCAGCCCGGCCTGTGGCTGGACTCCTCAGTTCCCAGTGAGAAGGGCTTGACAGGCTCCTCTTAAGAGGGGAGGGCAGGCATGTTGTCAACTATGAGGGAGGGAGAAGGAGGGGAGAGGAGAAGGAGGGAGAGATAGAAGAGGGCAAATCAGAGAAAGGGAGAAGCAAAGAGAACAGGGGAAAGCAGTACCCAGAGACAAGGAGCACAGGGCAGAGAGGAGGGGGAGAGAGGGAGCAGGGGGAGGAGAGGAAGGGGGAGGGGACAAAGGTGATAGGAAGAGGCAGAGGAGGGCATGGAGGGGGAAGGAGAGGGAAGTGGCAGGGAACAGCAGGAAGGGGAGGGTCACAGAGGAGGAGGAGGGAACACAGGAGGAGAAGCAGCAGAGGGGGACCCCTTCACCCTCTCCTCTGACCCCCGTTACCATGAGGAAGCACAGACACCGCCCAGGCCAGCCCCAGGGGATACAGTGCAGCCGTGGCCTCTGGCAGGGCCACAGGGACATGGGGAGGAAAGGGCTGACCTCCGGGAAGAGCGGGGACAGGACAGTCTCGTGCCCCTTTAGAGCCCCATCTGAATGCGCCTTTCCCAGCATTCACGGGAAGTCCTCCTGCACGGGATGCACAGTGCTGCAGACCCAGGCAGAGGCCACACCGAGCTGAGTGCAGGTGACAGGCAGGCCCCTGGCTGTCCCAAAGCTCTCCCCTCAGGTGCCATGAGCTAGTGCACTGATGCTTGTCCTGTTCGTTTAGACTGAAGGGTCCTAACCCTTGGGGCCCACCCCCCACAGGATCGACCCTGACCCAAGGAGGGAAGGAAGGGCCTGAGAGGCCAGAGCCGTGGGCTCCAGTCTACTTCAGCCAATGACTAGAGATAAGTCCCTTCATCTATTGGAGCCTCATTGTCCTCATCTATAAAATAGAGACAGACGTGCCTCACGGACGCATGTGACTTCCAGAACACAGAGCAGACAGTGACGGCTGCGGTAACCTCTCCTAAGGCGAACCCAAGGCCCCCCACCCAGCCCGGCACCCAAAGCAGCACCCAGAGCAGCCCATCGTGGGCCTTCTCTGCAGATGCACATGGGAGAGGCGTGGCTGCAGAGAGAAAGCAGTTCCATCAACTCATTCAAAAACCACCAGGGAACAAATTCCTGGCCACCCTCCTGACCATTAACCCTTCCTGGTGCTCCCTCCCACGTGGGCACCAAAGACAAATGTCACAGCCCTACTCACACCCCAGTGAGAGAAATAAGCATCCATGCAGCCACCTCCACACCAGCTCAATAAGTCGGAGGGGAAGGAGGCTGCCTTGTCCCCTGACCCCCGGGCTACACTGTCCTCTGCGGCCACACACCCCGGGCTGCCCTGGCCGCCCATCTTGCTGCTTAGACTCCAGTGGAGGAGTCTAGGCAACAGGTGGGCTCTTCCAGCCCCTGCCCCAGCCTACTCTGAGCCTCTCATCGCTTGGAGGCCAGCTCAGGGTCTATGACTGCAGCACCCAAAGGGCACAGGCGGCTGCTGGGACAGGGGGAGGCAGGGCTCCAACATGGAGGGGGGCACAGCAACTAGGAAGAGCTTTCCACACTGTGGGTGCCACCAGAAGCATGAACTGGCTGTGTGGGTGGCACTGGGGGACCTGAGCTGGGGAAGGGACACAGACGCGGAGAGAGGATGGCAGAAAGGCACGGTTTCCTTCTAGAAAATTCTCCCAGAGAAAGTTGGAAGGAAATTATCATCTTCCTGCTCTTCCTTGCCCACCTCTGTCTGCACTCCCAAGCTGGGTCCGGCAGTCCCGTCAGAGCCTTGCTGGTCTGGCCCAGGCGCCAGGACCAAGTCCAGTGTCGGTTGGTCTATCTATGGAGCCGGCTAGCTCTCTCCTGTGTCTCCGCTTCTATTTCTGGCACCACGCCCAAATCTCAGTGCCCTTGGTCACCTCCCTGCTGCATACCCAACCCCAATAACTCACAGCTCCTCCCCACAGCTCAACCCCTCCCCTCTTACCTGACTATCGCCAAGATCTCCAGCAGGTCCCTCAGTCTCGCCCTTGCCAACCAATCTCCCCAGCTGTTAACTATCCTCCCAAATCACAGTTCTCATCTCATCACGATACCCCCTGTCAAAAGCCTTCATGGCCTCTCCACACTCACCATTCAAACTGCTCATTGGTCTTCATTCCCGCCCACCCCCACTCCGTGTTCTCGCCCACGCCCACCGCCTGCTGTCCCTCCCTTTCCAGAGCAGGCGAACCTGTCTCTGCAGAAGGCCAGACAGCAGCGATTTCAGGCTCTGCCGGCCATGCGCTCCACTCTGCTCTGCCTGTGCACAAGGGCGATGTGTAAACAAGGTGCGGTGTTGATCCAATAAAACAATTTATCCACAAAGGCAGCACCCCCTACTCAACCTGTCCGTGCTGTCCTGCCTCCCTGACTTGCTCCGCTGGCCCCTCTGCTGGGCGCCTCACCTACTCCGGTCCACTCCCGCGTCTCCACGTGGTCAGTCTCCCTCTCTTCCAGGCCTAGTGGTGCTTTGAGCACGAGGGGCTACTAGGCTGGATCCCACCACACGGGATCAGTCCTCTTGGTGCACCAGTCACTTCCTCCCCCTGATCTTCCGAGCATGTCCATCCCACCCCTATGGGGACCTAGGTACTGGCCCAGTAAGCTTGTCAGCCTCGGTGCCTGGAATATAGTGACATGCAGAAGGATTTGTGTTGAATAAATGCATGAATGCAAAGGTGGATGAATAAATGAATGACTGTGAGGGAGAGTTGGGGGAGGGAAGGAAAAAAAGAATGCATGCAGGTTTCCCAAAGCTTGGAAACAAGCCATATTTATAAATCAGGAGTTGTGCCTGATAGACATACAGACACGTGGCAGGCCTCTCGGTTCCACTCTGACGGCCGAGGGCGTGAACACAAAGTGAGAGACCCACCAGGGAACAGGCAGGAGGAGGAGGGGCCCGAGGCAGGTGGCTGCTGGCTGCTGAGCCCAGGTGAGTGGTGAGGGGGGTGTGGCAACCCCTCCAAACTCATTTCTAATTCCCCCAGATGTGACGGCTGTATCAAGGGTAAGAGCAGAAACTGGCCGGTGGAGACACAGAAAGCAAAGGGGACTGTGTTGCTGGGGCCCCTTAGCACAAGGAAGGGTGAGGTTCCAGTTGATCTGATGGGCCCTGCAAACTGGCCCAGAGCAACCGGGAGTGCTGGGAAGAAACCAGGGCCAGGAAAGGCGCCAACCCACTGCCAGCCTTCCCCATCCACACCGAAGCGCCCTGGTCCAGGCCCATCATATGACCAAGGGCCTTCTAACCGTCTTCCTGCATGCTCAACAAAGATGTCACCTCGCACATTCACAACACACAGAGGGCTTCAGTGAGAGCGGGAAACAGAATAAATAGCTGCCTGTGACCAGTCAAACAGACTGTTTTCTACACTGGAAAGCAGGCAGTTCCAACAGAGCAATGAATTGGGGACTCAGGTTCTTTCCCTCCCTCTACAGAGCACTAGTCCATGCCAAGCACTCTGTGCTCCATTATCCAGGCTACACCGAGGGCGAGATGTGGCCAGTCTCCCAGGGATGCTGGCCTGGGAGCAGCGAGCAGAGGCATGGTGAGGGGGCCAATATGAGGCAAAGCAGGAGCCCTACATCAGTGGAAGGCAGCTTTGCCTGAGCGGCATCAGGGGACCACACGAGAGGCGACATCCAGGCAGAGAGGGTGGGAGAGAGGGAAGGAGAAGCACTTTGCTCAGAGGGACTGGCTAGGCACAGCCAGCATCTTGCTTGCCAGGCCTTTAGCCTAACCCATGGGACAGACTCCCTGGGCTTCAGAAACCAAGGGCCTTGGATGAGGATACAAGATGGGCTGTCTCTTACAGGTTCCCTGCTCTGGGGACATTCATACGTGTGTGTGTGTGTGTGTGTGTGTGTGTGTGTGTGTGTGTGTGTGTGTAGCAGGGCCAGGAGGGAGAGGGGAGAGGCCATTCTGCAGATTAAATTCCACCATGCTTTCCCCAAGTTCCTGTTTGGGCAGGGCCACTGGTAAGGGTACAGCCAGGAGTAGAAATGAGGAGGCCGGGACTGAAGACGGAACCAGGATGCCCAGACACAGGCCAGCTCAGGGCCTCTGGGCTCCGCTATGGACATTCACATCTGCTCAGCAGCCCCATCATGAGGACCTAAGTTCCCCTAGTCCCACAGCAAACCCCCACTGTGGGAGAGTCCCAGGGAGAAGGCAGCATAGCGCAGCCAGAAGGAAACCGCCCAGAAACTGGGATCTGGGGACTGGGGGCTGGGGACAAGTTACTGTCCTCACTGGGCTTCTGTCCGTAAGAAGGAGATCTCAGAGTGCCATCTGGACCTAACATCCACTCATTCAAATGGGGTCCCCAACTGGCTGCCATGTCTGGTCACTGAAGGGTCCCTATGGCTTCTCCCAGGGCCCGGGTCTATGGATGGAGAGGAGGATGGGGGCGTCTGGGGTGCAGGGCCTCCCCCGTCCCTCTCACCCCGACCACAGCTTCCTGTCTCTGTCCTCACCCAGGGACTCCCTTCTGTAGCCATGGGTGGTTGTCTTTCCCAAGGACCCCACATTGGCCACCATGGAGCCCTTCCAAGCCAGGAGCTGAGGGAGGGGTATGGACTAGGGAAGGGACAAAGCACCCACAGCCTCCGCGAGGTGAGGGCATGTATTCACCTGCACTCCCACCCAGTAGGTGCTCATTTAAAAGACTGTTATTAAAATAGAACCAGGAGCCCCTCCCCTCAGTGTCAGTGAGAAGAAACCAGGGTGACGGTGGGTGGGCAGCCTCTGAGGGCCTGCTTCTCTCCCTTTCCTCCCAGAGGCTGTCCCCAGCTGTCCTGCCCAGAGGGCCAGAATCAGCAGACCCCCGGAGTGCAGGGTCACGGGGCCAGGCCTTGGGGCCCCTGCCAGGCAGCCTCTGGAGCCCAGTGTCCGGGACTCATCACACCCACTATAGTGTTCCTCAGTTTACAGGCCCCGTCACGTACATCACCTCTCATCTGGGTCAAACCAAGGGTAAGACAAGCCCCCAGATGGGGAGGCTGCAGAAAATCGGGCTCGGGTGAGAAGAAACCAGGCCACGATTCAGCAAACCTCTACGGTGAAATGGGGAAAAGGTTGTAGTGGGGCAGGCATCACGGCTTTGAACTTCCCACACCCATGGTCAACCACAGCAAGAGCCGCTTGCTGAGACAGCATGTCCATGGGCGAGCCCGCCCCAATGGGCTAGGGATGGAAGCGTGGCACATGGAGGCGGATGGTGCCTGGAGGGGACATGTGGGCCACCTCTGAGCATGGCCACCTGACAGGTGGCACAGCCTTGATGGTGAGCTGCCCACCACTGTAGCATGAAATTGAGCTGGCGACTGCCTGTGCAGCAGGCCCAGAGCCCCCGCCGGCCACCGCTCAAGTCCGTTCAGAGTAATTAGGAACCGTCCAAGGGTGGCACGGCAGCTCGGCCCAAATCAGGAGCGGGGCCTAATGGAGGGGAGCAGGCCCACGCTGAGCCTGGCGTGAAGGCACGTGGAGGTCAGCTATCACCACACAGGGCAGCCCACTGGACAGGGAAGGGTGTGGGCTTCCCACCCAGGATGGCCCCAGCCCCGGACCCTGGGTTGCTATGGGCACCGGGGAGCTTAATGCTCCACTAGGCTCAGTCCCTGCTCACATCCTCCTCCTGGCACCGTTTTTTTTCCCCCAGCTTGATTGAGATTATACATGACCATCAAAAATTGCATACAGAGTGGGACAAAAGTAGGTTTACAGTTGTTTGTATGGAAAATAATACAATAATTAATAGATAATACAAGAGTAAACTGTTTTATGTACTCACAACTGTAAACCTACTTTTGCCCCGCCCTGTAAATTTAAGTTGTACACCTGATGACATGATATAGGCTGTGAAATATTCACCACAAGCCAATCAACATGTCCATCACTTCACACCTTTACCATTTTCCTTGTTTTTCTTGTGTGAGAACAACTAAGGTCTAAGATCTATTCTCTTAGCAAATTTCAAGCGCACTATCTAAAGCCGTCAGCGGCAGTCCCACTGCTGTGCACCAGCTCTCCAGAACTCACCCATCTTCATGAATGAAACTCTGTAGTGAATGCCCACCCACTGCTCATCCCACCAGCCCAGCCCATTCAGACTGGTGTCTCCCCTACACACAGCCATGTCTGTTCCCCTTGCCTCCCACACCTGTGCTCAGGCTGTGCTCCCAACGCCCCCCACCATGGCTACTCTTCACACCCCATCCACCTTCTTGGACATTCCAATCCCAACCCCTGCCTGAAACATCCCCTATGACACCCCACCACCACCTCACTGCTCCCTCCCTCCTCTGCTCCCCCTGGAATTCTGCATTCGGTCCTACTTTGGACTCTTTGTTCCAGGTATGTGTGTCTGTGTGTGAGTGTGAGTGGAAGCAAGAGAGAGAGTGAAAGTGTGTGTGTGAGTAGGCATGAGTGTATGGGAGTGTGTGTCAGTGAGTGTGCATGGTTTTGTGTGTGTGTGTGTTTTGACTAGAACCAACCAAATATGCAAAGAATCTACTGTAGCACAAGTGTGACATGATGGTAGGTCAGCAGAGAGAGAGAAGTTAAGTGGGGCGCCCTATGGGGATGGTGTCACTGTGTCCTGTCATGACCCTGACCACAGTCCCTATCTAATGGTTGTTAGACTGTTTGACCTTGGACAACACAATAAGGACCACAAAACCAGGCTCGTGTCAAAGTCATTCACCAGCATCTCCCTAGCATCTCACATAAGGACACACTCTGAGTACATAACCCATGTTGGATGGATGAACGGACGATAGACAGACAAAGAAATGATCATCATGGGTCTTGGACTCAGATGTAGGTGAAATCTAATGCCACCTGTAACTAGCTGTGATAGCTGGGGCAGGTTGCCTGAGCCTTCTGGGTCAGGTCCTGTAAAATAAGAACCTCCTCTCTGTGTGGAAATTCAGTGAAGTCGGGAGAGCTGCTGGCACACGCTTGGGAAGGAGCAGATGGCTAATACACGGTAACCACCCCATTTCCCCTGCACCCCCTGCGACCTGGTACAATCCTGTGGTCGAGCAGGAGCTGGCTACTTGCAAGGTGAATGCCTCATGAATGAATACATGGGCAACTAGCCCCACCAATTCCTCCCTGCCCTGGGTCCCTGATCCAAAGGGAGGAACCTGTGCACCCCGGTTGGCTAACTTCCCACACCCGCCTCTGACAGCATGGTGCTTCTCCAGGCCCTCGGCCACCCTGGCTCCATTCCCCACGCCCCTCACCTCGACAGATGTGCAGGTGGTGATGACGCTGGTCCCCAGGTTGGTGCTGTCACTGAGATCATCTGGCAAAGAAGGTGTTTTCTCCACCCTAGGGGCCTGGGTGGCTGGGAATGAGGGATTTTTGGGGGACAGGTTCACATCTGTGCCGTTGCCAAAGGCCTGGATGGCATTCCCTGTGGAGGGAGAGAGCAGGTAGACACAGAGAAATCAAGGGCACCTCCGTCACTTCTGCCCCTCGCCATCTCTGCCACTATGTTCCCTGTCACAGCCCAGAGCCGAGGGCACGGTGCAGCTGGTCCAGACTCAACTGTGCCGAAGCTCCCCTTCAGATACGAGGTCTCCCATGTGGAGAAGAAAATAGCAAGAGGGAGATTAAAAAGACAAGAGACCAGAATAGAAAGAAACATAGGTGATGAGGAGTGCAGAGGAGGGGAGGTGGGTGCTGGGAGCCAGCGTGAGAAGCCTGGAGGGAGGAGCGGGCCACGCCCAGGGCAGCCAACACCCTCTTCCCAGTGGCATTCGGTGCTGCAGACACGCCCACTTCAGGGCTCCGCCACCCCAGCCCCCCAGGCACTGGTTCCCCAGGCTCCTTTGCCACCTCAGGTGCTTCTAGGTCCTCACCACTGGCATTCCAAGGGCCCCAGACTCACCTTCATCCCTGAGTGGCCTCACCGACTCCCACACCATTAGTTAGCGCTAACTCACTGAGGACTAAATTAATGGAACCTCTTGGACAAAACTGTCCCCAAGACTTAACCCTCTACCAAATGCCTAAAGAAATTCCCACCTCCATGTCCTCAAGCTCATCATGTCTACACCTGAACCAGGCACCACTCCCTTCCGTGTCCACACTGTTTTCCCGTGTTTCCAATCTGGAAGGTCTCATCTCTCCCTACCCAAACCCCCCAGTTCGCCTCCCTAACCACCCACTTGCCGCCATTTGAGCCCGCCTCCTAAAGCTCTTTCCCCTCCCTCCCTCCCTCCACCCTCGCTGACCCTGCTCAGGTCCTCAGCCATCACTGTCCCTCCCTCTGAGTGGACCCTCTGTGGGTCACTGGTCAGAACCACATCTCTACCTCACTCCTCCACACCAGGCCAGAGAGTGAATCTCTGGAATGCAGATCTGACCCGGAACCAGTGGCCCACACCACCACCCCAACACCAATGGGGACCACAGGATCCCCTTTGGGAGGGGGACTCCCCTCCTGCCCAGACAACTCCAGGCGACCCCATGCTCTGTACCAAGGCTCCGTGGTCTGTGGTTCTCACAACTCACTCTGCCCAGGTGGACAGGCATGCCCTCCCTGCCGCTCCAGCTGACCAATGGCCCTGTCCCTCAGGTGTTCACCCGTGAGGAGCCTCCAGGGGCTCCCTACTGCAGGCTGAGCCGGACATCCCACCCTGGGCTCTGGGTGAGCCCTGTGCAGACCTGTCCCCAACACGTTCCCCCCGGGCTGTGACCACACGGACCTCAGTCAGGCTGCAAGCTGCCCATGACAGGCACTATGACTTGTTTCTCTGAGTTCCCAGGGCCATACAGAAAGGCAGCATGGACAGATGGACAGAAGGAAGAATGAGGGGAGGGAGGGGGAGGGCCGTGGGTAGCAGAGGTGTCAGTCTGAAGAGATGGAGGCAGACAGAGCTTGTGGCTCACCTTGTTCTCCAGCCTTTGGATTAGGAGTTTGATAACTTGAAAAAAAAGTCACTGATTCCAATGGATCCTTAAAAATCGATCCCAAAGGGAGAAGCGACAGACAGCCGAGGGCCCCACCATGGGGCTGTCCCAGAGGACCTGTCTGAAGCTGTCAGCATAGTAGACCAGAACCCTTCAGCCCTGACGTGACACAGGCTCACGGCCTCAGTGGTAAACTGAGGCTGGCCCACTGACAGCTCGGTGTGACTCGGAGAGCCCAGCCACCATCTCCGCAGGTGGCACCCTGCTGGAGCAGCCCCACAGGTCACTGGCTGTCCCGATGGAGGAAGGGCATGGCTCAGGCAGCCTCAGGGCCCCTTTGGGATGAGGGTGGGAGGAGCTGCTGGGGGAGAGTTTTTTTTTTTGCAGGACTTACGAAGGCAGGGGTTCTCGGTGAAGTCCCGGAGGAACTTCTCACACTCCTCCTCCATGTTCCCACTCCCCCGACAGCTGCACCAGGGGGACACCACGATGCCAGTGGGGCTGGAGTCCACGTAGTTGGGCGTCATGTCAAACCCTGGACAGGGAGAAAGGGAGGCAAAGGGGAGGGGAGCAGTGAGACCTCCTCTCTGGGCCCCCAGACCCCAGACACCAAGATAAGAGGCTTGGAAGCCTTCCTCCTTCCCACCTGCCCCCAAACACACATACATCCCAACTCATAGTCCAAACTCTGAGTGTTACTATTCCAGGGAACCATGGGGCCAGCAGGGGGCAGAGGGCGTGGGGATGTGCCCCCCGCTCCCCCACCCCAGAGTGTGGCCCGTGCTTTCTCCTGGCCCCCAAGCAGTGTGTTCCGGAGTTCATGTGACTGGGCTCACATCCTGGGCTTGGGTCCCAGTGCCAACATTTACTAGCAGGTGAACCTGTGCACGTTACTCCACTTCCCTAAGCCTCGGTTTCCCCATCTGCAGCACGGAGATCCCAGCACCTCCCTAGAAAGTGCTGTCAGGAGAATTAGTCGTGTAAACTGCTTAGCACAGCACCTGCAATGTCAGACCCTGCAACCAGTGTTACTTCTTCTTCTGATTTCGAAATCCTTGTAGGTTCCTCGGGCCCTCCTCCCCCATGAAACAGCCAACCTGGCCTCTGGTTTCCCACGGCAGCTCTAGCTGAAACTGCCACCAGGAAAGGCGAGTCAGGTGTCCTCCCACTGGCTGGAGCTGGGCCTCGGCCCCTGCCCGCTGGGCAGCTCGGAGTCACTGTGAGCCCGGACTGGAGGGGGTGGCTTACCAATCATGCCCGCGTAGGAGCCCAGACACGCCTGATAATTGTCGGCTGGACAGCTGGTGAGCGTCTGGTAGGAGGCGTGACAATTGGCGTGGAAGTCCGCCAGCCGGGACCTGGTGTTGGGAGAAGACGCGTAGAGCGAAAGAATTAGCGTGGCTGCCTTCCCTCCCGCCTCCTCTGCGGCACAGGGCTTCCTCCCAGCTTCCTGGGCTGGAGGGAGCCAGGGAGAGGGAGCAGAGGAACACAGGGCCACTGAGCCTGGGGCCCGAGGCTGAGAGCTCCTAGAGCAGTGTTCTCAACCTTCCTAATGCCGCGACCCTTTAATACAGTTCCTCATGGTGTGGTGACCCCCAATGTCATTGTTACAAATTGAACATAATTAAAGCACAGTGATTAATCACAAAAACAATATGTAATTATATATGTGTTTTCCGATGGTCTTAGGCGACCCCTGTGAAAGGGTCGTTCGACCCCCAAAGGGTCGCGACCCACAGGTTGAGAACAGCTGTCCTAGAGGAAGGGGCTCCTGGAGGCCACACAGTTGAGGCACATCCACTCCGGATGGATGGTTCAGTCAGAGCAACAGGGAACCCGCAGCGAGTGCACCAAACATGCCGGGACCAAGGCAGGAAAGCTGGTGCCACCTCCTGCTTGGCCGCACTCCCGGTGACCTGCCAGGTCCCTCCACACGTCCCTCTTCCACCTGCAGAACGGTTATGTGAACCCTGCCCTAGCGGCCTCACAGGAGGCGGCGAGGTCCCAGGAGTGGCCCCAGGGAGGAACAAAAGTCCTCTGGGGTGAGATACCTGGAGGACATTCTCACCCATCGCTTCTTCACCAAACCAGAGCACAGCCTCCCGGCCCCAAGCCACCAGCTTCCAGGTCCCACCCAGTAGAATCAGCCTCTTCCCCTACATCGCCCAGTCCGCCTCCCGGCCCCAAGCCACCAGCTTCCAGGTCCCACCAGTAGAATCGGCCTCTTCCCCTGCATCGCCCAGTTCTCTGTCGCACCCGTGACTCCCCTTCTGAACTGTGCACACGGCCCTGTGCTCCCCTCGGCCCTGAGCCTCCTGGAGGCAGGCGCCTGACCGGGTCTGTCCCCCAGTGTGGAGGGTCCCATGGAGCCCAGGGCACCACAGCGACTCCTCCTCTTTCTTCCTTCTAGCCCAGCGCCCTGACACAAGCTGTCATGTCAGCCTGGCTGGGCCCGCCTCCCCTCCCCTCCCCGTCACTGCCTCTTAGAGGCCAGTGCCCTTTGCCCCGGGATCCCCGCGTATCATTTGTCTCACAGCAGGTGCAAGCGGGAGTAATAGGTCTTGTTCACTGCTATGTTCCCAATGATGGCACACAGTAGGACCTCAACAGATACGTGCTCAGTGGGAACACCACAGAAGGACCAGAACCCAGCCCCTGACTCCCTATCCCAGCTCTTTCCACACGGTGAGGTTCCTCATACAATCATCCCGAAGCTCACCCTGAATTCAGCCCCCAGGTTCTCCACCAGACTCCGTCCCATTTGAGGACGGAGGAGAGAGAGAAACAGACCGACAGACCAGGACAGCCTGAGAGCACCACCCTCACAGAGGCGGCTGTGTGGGTCCCACCACAGGACAAATTCGGGTTTGCCTGGGGCCCCAGGTCCTGGGGGTGCGGGCTGGGAGAGGGAAGCTCTGCAGAGGCAGCGAGTGAGGGGGGTGGGGCCCGGGGTTCTCACGTCCGCTGTGCCCCTTGATCACAGGGACTTTAGGTGAGTCCTTGCTCCTTGGGGACTGAGTTTCCTTGTTTATCAAATGAATAAAACATTCTCTTAGTTTCTGGTTTAAAAGCTATTTCTAGAGTTTGAGAAAATGAAAAAGCTCTGGAAATGAATGGCGGTGATGGTTGCACAACCATGCGAATGCACTTCGTGCCACACACTGGACACTGAGAAATGGATACAATGGTAACTTCTATGTTATGTAGAATTTACCACAATTAAAAAAAAAAAGGTTATCACTGAACCATCACAAAGAATCTGAGATCTGGCAGGCAGGTGTCTGATCGTTCCAGTTTACAGGGGAGGAAGCCGAGCCTCAACGAAGCCCAAGGTCCCGAGCTGCTCAGTGAACCGGGCCTGCATCCCAGACTTGAACAGGGCGGGTGCCCAGCTGGCAGGTCCCCTGCTCCTGCGCGGAAGCCCTCAACGTCCTCCCAGACCCAGCATCCTGCAGCACTGGAAACATATTCTGTCTTTCGCAGGAAAAGAATGGGACCCGAGGTTCTCTCCACCTCCCTCCTGCCCATAAATAAGCCCTCTAGCTCCTCCCCACCCGGCCCCCAAGCAGGGAAAAGCCTCAGCCCCCACAGGACAGGACTTCATATCATATGGAAGACCAGTGGCTGTCCACCCCACAACCCAGCAAATGAGGCGGGGAGCTATGAGGGGGTGAGAGGGGTTAGCTTTGGCCAAATGTCTCCTCCAGAGGCCCCAGCACTGAGGAGGACCGCAGGTGAGCAGCATCGGGCGGAACCCAGCTCTGCAGGGATCACAAGCAGAGCCGGAGGCTCCCATCTCCTTCCCGCCAAGGAGGCACCCAAATACCATCTCTTAGCCAAAACACAGGAGTCTGTCCAATGCCATTTAATCACAGGTAGGGCCCGGCTCCCTCCTGCTGCTTCCCCAGTGCCCCCCTGCCGTCCTGCCCTATTAAGTCCTTTCTGACTGCCTCCACCTCTGTATTCCAGCTGCAGACAACATCTGGACCAGGCAAGCAAATACTTAATGGTATAAACATTTACTGCTGTTGCCCTGTTGGTCTCTCCAACTGGAACCCACGTTCCCAAGGGGCAGACCCTACTGATTTCTTCATCCAAACACCTTGGGTCTGGATGCAGTGGTAGATATCTACCCATCCTTTCTCCGAACACGTGCTGAGCCCCTGCCACATGACCGAGAGACTGAGGGTGGGGATGGCACGCCTGTCCCTGTAATGTCAGAAAGGAATTCCCAGGGAGTGGGGACTGAGCAGAGTGCCCACCAGGCCAGGTTCCATGGGAGCAACTGCCCACTCAGCAGACCCGAGGGTGCCCTACAGGTGAGGGAGCCTCCCAGACAGCCTCTCCGTGAGGACGGGCGGGCAATCACGCTGCTGCAGAGGAGAGGGTCTGTCACCAGGCCACGCTCTGCCCATCCCTTGCCCGTGATGCGGCCTGTGCTCAGTGTCCCCAGTTATCCAATGGGTGAGCCATACCGGCCTCCCTCCCTCACAGGGGCCTGAGAGACGTGGGCACAGAGGAGAGGCATCAATCACCCTTATCTCCCCTCCACCAGGCGCTTCGTCCCAGCACTGTGCCTGCCACCGGCAAGTACATACCAGGAGCAGCTTTCCTTGCGTCTGATAAAAGAAAAAGACACCTGTTACCTGCCAAGGTGGATGTGGGTCCCATGCAAGGCAGTGTGAACAGGGAGACAATTCCCTCACCCTCCCTCGCCTCCAGGTGCCATTCCTTGCGTCTGATAAAAGAAAAAGACACCTGTTACCCTGCCAAGGTGGATGTGGGTCCCATGCAAGGTAGTGTGAACAGGGAGACAGTTCCCTCACCCCTCCCTCGCCTCCAGGCGCCCGGCGCCCTGCTGGACAACAGGTGAGCGATGTCCTCCTGCCCCCACATCACTTGCCCTGCCACACTGAGGACACAGGAGGAGGAAGCAGGCTTCCAAAGCCAAGCACCAAGCACTGGGCCCCAGGGTAACCAATACGAAGGGCTGCCTTGCTCCCCTGAGGCCATGGCCTACTTCTTTCATGGCAGGCCACAGCTCTATCCAGAGCACAGGGAGGGGGAGCAGGCCCAAGACCAGCAGATGACGACGAGAGGAAGGGGTGGGGGGAGGAGCAAGCAGCCTTGGCAGGCGAGAGTGGCAAATGGGGCCACTTAGGAGGCTGTCCCGTCCAAGACTCCAGGAGGCCTTTGATTGCTCAGGTCCTCTCCTCCCCGAAAGACACACTAAGGTCCCGGCAGCCGGAGTACTCTGTCAACACGAGAGCGCATGGTGTCAATTTCCTTCAAGCCACGACACACTCGACTCCAACCACGACACACACCAGCCCTGGTAGGTGCAGTCCCCAAGGCGATGGTATCCTTGCACATGCACAGCGAACCAGCTGGGATCGCTGCACCATTGCCGGGCCAGGTGCCACTCTCCCTGCAGGCGCCCTCGGTCACCTGTCTCGTGGACTCTGCTCTCCCTGCCAGGACAGGCCTCCCTGGATCAGCCCCATCGCTTCTCAGATGTCTTCCTTTCGCAGCCCCCATAAGGGAGATGGCATCAAAGAAAGCAGGAGAGAGAGAAAGACAAGCAGACCACGAAGCGAGAAAAGCAGAGAGCCAGCAAGAGGACCAATATGAACACCAGCCAAGTCCATCTCGCCGAGACCAAGTGAAGACTGCCAAGTGAGCGCGGCAGCAGGTGGGTCTGTCCAAAACACAAACCCTCCGCGGGCTCGTTTCATGTGCAGCTGTAGCCCATTCAATCACAGGAAATCAGCGGAGAGACGGAGAGGGACACTTGACCCCCAATTTGATTAAACAATTGCCAGATTAAATGCAGGACACCCATCTGATTTGAATTTCAGATAAGCAATAATACACCTTTTCAGTGTGAGCATGTCCCATGCCATATTTGGAGCATCCTTACATTAACCAGTATTCCATTGTCTATCTGGAATTCAAATGTAGCGAGGCACCCTGTGTCTTATTTGTTAGTTAGACCCTGCAATCCTGTTTGATGGGCAGATTTGCTCCTGCAAAGTCAAGATGTGTGAAGACCGACCCTCACAGCAGAAATCATGCAGAGGGGGTGCAGGGGTGCATGGACTTCCTACAGGTCAGCGATTCTCAAAGTGGGGTCCGAAGACCAAGGCGTCAGCTGGGAATTTGGTAGGAATGCACATTCCCGGGCCCCGCCCCAGACCTAGCAGATCTGACATCCAGAGCAGGGCCCAGCCACCTGTGCTTTGCCCAGCCCTCCAGGTGACCTGGAGGCAAGTGCTGCCGGGGACGTGGCAGCTGCACAGGCTGCAGAGCTGGTCTCAGCTTTCCCTGCCCCGACTCCAGGCCCAGCCAATGAAGAAAG